TGTCGGGAGCATTGTTCCCACTTTATAAGAAAGGAAACTGAGGCTCAGGGAAACTGGATCCCTTCCTCGTGCCACGTGCAGTAATTGGAGGAAAGTGATTGGAGGAATGTTTTACATGCTGAAGCTGCAAACGCACGCTGGTCACATCCAGCTTCCCCACTTAGTGGCTATGTGGGCCTGGGTGAGAAGTATGTGCTGTCTCTGTCTTTATAGCTCAGTTTCTTGCCCATAAAGCGGAGGTGGCACCTACCCCTCAGGGGCTGTGTGAGGCAGGGCCACTAGGCACGTGGGACGGTGCCCAGCGCGGAGCGGAGCATGTGCTCAGGGCGTGGGCAGGACTTCTCCTTCCACAGGCCCNATGCCTCCAGGGAGAGTCCATTCCTCATTTTGCTGTTTTGAACCTGAGATCAAATTTAAGGCAGCAGGCTTCAGATCACAGGAGCCCTGCCCTCCCAGGCTTCAGATCACAGAAGCCCCGCCCTCCCCAGCGCAGGGCAGGGGTCGGCCTGGGAGTTGTCCCAGGTGATGAGGTGCTGGTCAACTGTCTTGCTGTTACCCAGGTCCCCTTGCCAGGACGCTCGGGGGAGGGGGATCTCTTGCCCCCAGGGCCTGATGAGAAAGGAACCACAGATGTCCTGACGTACGTGTACTTGGATATGCAGTCCCTGGAATCAACAGGCTTTCCTGGTTTTAAATTGAGGACAAACAGCAAATGGCAGGGGAATATCTGTTTGGGGAGGGGATTTTGGGACATTTATCTTAGCAACTAGGGCCCTTCCAGTGTCCAGCTCCCAGTCCACGGCACACTAGGTCTTGCTGATGTAAATACAGCAGGCCCCAGTCACAGGGTCCCTGCCACCCACTGGTGAGCCCTGGGTGTGATCAGAACCCCAACCTGCCTGGCCTGGCACCTCAGAGCGAGTGTGAGAAGGCAGGTCACTGGCAGGCAGCTGGGTTTGGAGGGATCCCTGTGTTTGCCACCAGGCACAGGAGAGGAAATGCAGCCAGAACAGCCAGATAACTGCTTGCCTTCGTTAGGATAAGTACATAAGAGGATGAGCAGATGTGAGGGTGGGAGAGGGCAGGTAGTGAGTTCCTGGTAATTTCTTGCCTAAAAATAACAGTCACTATTAAGAAAATGCCTTCTATTTTTTCAGTGACCTATGCCAGGAGAGCCATACGTTATAGCCAACCCACAGAACCCCATGTCGGGAGCATTGTTCCCACTTTATAAGAAAGGAAACTGAGGCTCAGGGAAACTGGATCCCTTCCTCGTGCCACGTGCAGTAATTGGAGGAAAGTGATTGGAGGAATGTTTTACATGCCGAAGCTGCAAACGCACGCTGGTCACATCCAGCTTCCCTACTTAGTGGCTATGTGGGCCTGGGTGAGAAGTATGTGCTGTGTCTGTCTTTATAGCTCAGTTTCTTGCCCATAAAGCGGAGGTGGCACCTACCCCTCAGGGGCTGTGTGAGGCAGGGCCACTAGGCACGTGGGACGGTGCCCAGCGCGGAGCGGAGCATGTGCTCAGGGCGTGGGCAGGACTTCTCCTTCCACAGGCCCCAGCCCAGGCCCGTGAGGACCAGGAGCCCTGGCCCTGGGGAAGGAAGTGAGCTGGGAGTGGGTTGGGTGAGAGTAAGTGATGGGCCCTCAGGACAGCCGGTATTTTCAAGGCTTCAGAAAATGTGGGAAGAGGCCGCAGAGGGTTAAATGCCACTTGGCCTCAGGGTGCCGCCGATGGGGCTGCTCTTCTCCAGTCTCCGAGGCAAGCTCCTGTCCCCGCAGACCCTCGTGGAAGACTCNTGAGAAGGCAGGTCACTGGCAGGCAGCTGGGTTTGGAGGGATCCCTGTGTTTGCCACCAGGCACAGGAGAGGAAATGCAGCCAGAACAGCCAGATAACTGCTTGCCTTCGTTAGGATAAGTACATAAGAGGATGAGCAGATGTGAGGGTGGGAGAGGGCAGGTAGTGAGTTCCTGGTAATTTCTTGCCTAAAAATAACAGTCACTATTAAGAAAATGCCTTCTATTTTTTCAGTGACCTATGCCAGGAGAGCCATACGTTATAGCCAACCCACAGAACCCCATGTCGGGAGCATTGTTCCCACTTTATAAGAAAGGAAACTGAGGCTCAGGGAAACTGGATCCCTTCCTCGTGCCACGTGCAGTAATTGGAGGAAAGTGATTGGAGGAATGTTTTACATGCTGAAGCTGCAAACGCACGCTGGTCACATCCAGCTTCCCCACTTAGTGGCTATGTGGGCCTGGGTGAGAAGTATGTGCTGTCTCTGTCTTTATAGCTCAGTTTCTTGCCCATAAAGCGGAGGTGGCACCTACCTCTCAGGGGCTGTGTGAGGCAGGGCCACTAGGCACGTGGGACGGTGCCCAGCGCGGAGCGGAGCACGTGCTCAGGGTGTGGGCAGGACTTCTCCTTCCACAGGCCACAGCCCAGGCCCGTGAGGACCAGGAGCCCTGGCCCTGGGGAAGGAAGTGAGCTGGGAGTGGGTTGGGTGAGAGTAAGTGATGGGCCCTCAGGACAGCCGGTATTTTCAAGGCTTCAGAAAATGTGGGAAGAGGCCGCAGAGGGTTAAATGCCACTTGGCCTCAGGGTGCCGCCGATGGGGCTGCTCTTCTCCAGTCTCCGAGGCAAGCTCCTGTCCCCGCAGACCCTCGTGGAAGACTCACAACAGCATCCTGGCCTACGGTAGCATGTCCTGCCCCTCCTGCTATTTTCTCCCAACATGTGACCTCAGTCCTGCCTCTGTCCTCTAGACCTGCCATCGTCATTGTTTAGGACAGCTGGTCACCATCAGTTACCTAATACCCCTGTGGTGGCCCCAGCGTGGTTGTCAGCTTCGGTCTTGGTCACCCCTCAGGACGGGCATCCCAGCTCCTTGCCTGTGGAACCAGCAGACTGCTTCCGCGGATAAGCTGTGACCCTGAGGCTGGGACGGTGCAGTGGCTCCTGGCACAGGAGGCGAGCCCTGTCTTCAACATGTCATTGGCTCTTCCATGCTGCCCAGGAGCCGTGTGGTGGCGTGTGGCAGAGGTAACAGATGGAGGGCCGGCCCCGCACGGGAGCTGGCGACCACCAGGATGTGACACGTCTCTTTCCACCTGCGAGGAGGCAGCTCCTCGGGGCAGCAGCCTCCTCCGAAGCAGAGGATGCTGCTCTCGGCAGCTCTCTGAAGCAAAGATAATATAATTCGATATTCCCCACTCTTTGGGAAGAGATTACATGTATAATAGCCATTTTCAAGAGCCAGGGAGGAGGGGTGCAGCCAAAGAAGGGGAGGAGGAGGGCAGGGACTTCAATCAGAGGAGCCAGCCCGCTGGTTATGCCCAGGCAGCCTTTCCATTTTCAAAGCTCCACTGAATTCTCTCGAAAACAGCACACTTTGCAGCCTCTGATTTTCTTCTCTGTGCGGTTTAGCATCAAGCCATCTCCTTTGCGATTCAGTACCCTCTTCAAGTGTGCCTGTCTGCATGACGGGACTAAGTGGGCAGGTCTGGCCTCCACTGCAGCCTGTCATCTGCTTGCCACCCAGGGCAGTGCGATGGCACATACACAGAGCTCCAGGGACCTCACTCAGGCCCCACAGGTGCCTGAACCCGCAGCGAAGGTCTTTGGGCTACTGATTTCATTCCAGCCCCCAAAGTGCCAATGATCTGTCTGGGTTTCAGGCGCAAAGTTCTTAATATAAGCTAAGAGCCACCTCACTTGTGAAAAACCACCTCTTTGGGTCTGATGAACAAGATCTTCTAGGAGGAGGAAACCTTCCCTGCATGGTTCAGAAATTGTCCAGGTCCNTGAAAAACCACTTCTTTGGGTCTGATGAACAAGATCTTCTAGGAGGAGGATGGTTCAGAAATTGTCCAGGTCTGATTCCTTAAAGAACACGTGTTTTACCTCTTCCCAAGCCCCTCAGATTTAACCCACTGACATCATAGTCAACTCCCTCAACCTCGAGATGGAGCCTGATAATGTTCTATCTATAATATAGAGCACTTTATAATTCCCAAAGTACCTTTACCTCTAAAACGTCATTTAATCTTGACAGCAATGCAGGAGATAGGTGGGGCCAGTAGTAGCCTAGCTTTAACAGAAGCAGGCACCAAAGCTCAGAGAGGTTAAGAGACTTGCCCAAAGTCACATAGCTGCCGGGCAGCAGGGTAGGACCATAAGTCTTTGGAATTTTGGTTCGGGACTCTTGGCATTCACTGTACCATACAGGTCCTGCCTCCTCCCCTAAAGGGGTCAGGTATGAGTGTACTGAGAAGTGGAAGAGTTGTGTCACTTACTGGACTTTTCACTTAGGGACTTGGGGTCCAGAGGTGGCCCCGACAGTGTGAGAGTGGACCTGGGGCAAAGGCAAAGGAGCAGAGGCTTTGGGGCATGGGATGAAAATGCAAGCTGCATTAGGGAATAAAGTTTGTATTTGTGAGAGTCCAGTGCCGAAACAGAGCCCCTAACACACAGAATGGGGTGATCACATCATCAGGTGGGCTGGAGGAGGAAACAGCTAGCATTTCCAGGAATGATGCAGGATCATAGAGAACTCCCTGCCAGGGGAGCCGCTGCCCACCACTGGACCTGCTGAGTTCAAGAGCATGTGCCACAGGCCAGGCCAGGCTGTGGGAAGTTGTCCCACTGCAATGCTGCTGCAGCTGGCTCCTGAGTTCCAGAGCCAGAAGATGGACGCTGAAACGCTGCAGCCGAAAACCTGATGCTTCTAGCATGCCACCAGCAGCAAGCAGCAAGAGGGGAGGAAGGGCGTGGGGCTGGCAGAACACAGTTCCCATCGAGAACTGTTGCTTATAAGGGAGTCTGGGACACGTGGCTTTTCATGTGCTGGAGCCCAGCCTCTGCAGGATGGGAACGGACTTTACAAGGAGGGCAAAGGGACGCAGGGCAGCCAGTGCAGTTCCCACCACAGCAGCCAGCCTGATGCCCTCTCTCGTTACCATGAAAACCAACTGGCACGTACCCTGAAAGGCAATATTCCGTTCTACAGTGGCTATTTTAGGTCTTTATTAGCCAGGAACAATCCAGAGCATACAGTCGTGGGTTTGCACAGACACCACGTCTCTCAGGAATCCTTGATGTACTTCACGGTAGAGTTGAGAATTTCCATCCCATGAAGCTCTCTCAGCTGAGCAGCAAACCTGTCACAATCAGAACACAAGCTCCAGGACATCTGTGCAGAATGCTGCGGCCCCCAGCTGCCCCTCAGTGGACCTGGCTGGGAAGTTGGAAGGGACCGTGGCTGAGCCCTCAGGGAGGCCTGTGGACACTGCCAACTCTTGCTGGGAGTGGCAGGTATGGCAGGCTGACCCGATGGCACCTTGCTCTGGGAACCTCCCAGCGGGCAGCCGCTTTAAGCTCATGCTAGCTAAAGGCATGTGCTTTCTGTGGAAGAAAGATTTTATCCATTCCTCCCATTTGAACAATCAGACAGAACTTGAAAGGACTTTTGATATTATCCACCCAACCCTCTCACTCCACGGAGGAGGAACCAGAGGCATGAGGAGGTAGAGGAAGGGGCCAGGCAGCCAGATGCCCTCCTGCCAAGGAAGGCACCCCCACCTATGCCGGGCTCCATCACTCGGCCACAGGTGGCACCTTCCGGGAGCGTGAACAACTAGGTGTTTAGAGCAGGACCAGAGCAGGACGGTGTGAGCCGAAGAGGAGCAATGGACAGTTAAGGCAAAGCTGTCGCGCCTGGCCTGTCCGCCTCTCGCTTTGGTTTGCTCCAGCACAAGGATGTTACCTTCGCTGGACCATCTCCCGCAGGCTTAGGCCCTGGGCAAAGAGAATGAAGTGGGGGTGGAGAGGAGGGAGAGAGGAGAGATGGTGGGGGGAAAGGAAGACTGGAAAGAGGAGAGAAGGCTGGAGAGGGAAGGAGTGGGATGGAGAGAAGACAATGGCGGTAAGCACAGGGGCAGCCCCATTGGAGGAAAGTCTTCCCTCTCTGGGCGGATCTGAGGGCCGGTTCCCTCAGGGTAGGCTTCCTCCAGCAGGCAGCTACTGGGCCCAACCCTGTCTGCAGGAGGATGCCAGGGCTCCCTGGGGCAGAGTCCCAGCCAAGGTGGCGCCTGCCCCTCTAAACCGCGACCAAGGGCCCAGCACACCTTGGCTCGGCCGTGCACAGCTTCCCCAGAGCGATCCCTGCGTTCAGCTGCACTGCCATCTCCTGTGCATCACCACCCGCAAGCTTCAACAAGACCCGCACGATGTCCGTGTTCAGCAGGGAGGATGCCACCTGCGGCACCTCCATGCAGTTCCCCAGGCAGAGCGCGGCGTTGCCCACGAGAATCTCATCCTCAGAGCTGAGCAGCGTCATCAGGACACTGAGCTCTGCAGGGAGGGAGGAAAACATGCACTGGTCCCAGGAAGCTGGCAAAGGGACATGAGGGGCCAAGGGGGTGTCAGTGGATGCTGAGCTGCCCGGAGACTCTGACAAAGGCCATGTCACTCCTTCATTCAGCTAAAATGGGTTGAGCACCACTGGCTCCTTGCTGTCTCTGACGTATCACAACACAGGTGGTATGGGGATGAATGCTACCTGGTAGGTACACAGGGCTGTCTTATCTAAAGTCCCTGGCCATAACCTCTACTCTCCACCTGACAGCGCCCAAGGGGAAGGCTAGGGGCCCGCACCCTGGACCACAGGGCAAGCAACAAGGCCCAGAAGAAAGGCTCCTGTTCACATGGCGGGGCCCCAGCCAGCTCCCTCCCCGCACATTCCAGAGGAGGTAGGGAGGAGATCACTAGCAGGCTGCCTTGGCTGGAACCCTGCTACTGATGACCAAAGCTAGTCTCAGTCACTAGATCAAAGCTAGGCTCGGACCCTGATGATTTTCCTTGTTCACTAAATGTTGAAGCCGTTTCTCCCCCTTTCCCTGGTAAAGAAGAGAACCCATGATAGGCGGGTCTAAGCAGAATGCTGTAGAGACAATTTCAGTTTAAGTTGGTGACAGGAGGTAGCTCCCAGTTTCGACCCTGTTGCCTGAGTCTGCAGCCTGGGCCTGCTACCTGTGCCAGCTGAAGGCTAATTAAATGCTTTCAGAGGGGGAGGTGAGATGACACCTGGCTCTGTAAATGCTGCTGAAGTCCAGGCGAGTAGGGGCTTTACACTACGTCTCTCCTCTCTGCTCACCTGCAGCTCCCTTTGCTGCTTCCAGTGTGATCAACCTCTGGGGTGTGGGGTCCGCTTAACGGAAGCGTCACTTACTCTTATCCAGTCTTATTACTTCCTCTCGAGCTTCATGGTAACTGTTCGTGCAGATGGCGAGGGTCTTCACAGCATAACGCGAGGCAGTCTGGCCTCCCGCCTAGACTTGCGAGTGAAATTAGAAAAATACTATCAGTCCTGTGACTGCTCTTGGCCAGAAACCGCAGTGAGTAGCTGTGACTGTACTAGTGGCTTCCCGAACGTCTAAGAGAGTCCACTGAGAAGGGGCACGTTTGCTGGCGAGCAGGCCAGACCCTGCTGGATGGAGCGTCACTCACATCTCCTCTTCCAGCCCACACCTGGGTATGAGGCAGGCCTGTCACATTCACCTGAGCAATTACCTGTGCAAGGCTTTATGAGAGAGTGGCTGAGAAGAGAAACCGTCGACTGACAGATCTACCAAAGAGGGAGGGAAGCCCCAGCTCAGTTCAGCATCTGAGAATGAGGCTCCCTCGCTAAGGCCGTCAGGCTCACAGGCCTGCACGCGAAGCATCACGATCCTACATCATTTTAAGAGGTGACAAATGTCAAATCATATCCCCCAGATCACCCAATCGTCTTTAAATGCACGGTGCATGCATGTCCGCGTAATACACGTGTATGCGTGCAATCGGCAGCCTCTGGCAGGTTGGCAAGAGTCGTCCCGTGGATGACGGTCATCATCCAGTGGCAGCTGAAGCTCAGGCTCGCTGACCTGCCCTCCCAACACTGCCCCACCCCACAAGAGAGCACGGCCCTGGCCCCACAGAGCCCAGAGTTCTAGGAATAAGGCTCCCATGGGGTCACCGCACTAACATGGGTGAGTGACCCCCACTGGGCACATACGTCATGGGCAAGATCCAGAGGTGGCGGCTGCGTAAGTCCCCTTGCCCTTTCAGGTGAGTCTAGTTACCTGCTGTACCTACTCCATTAGATTCACTGCACTCATGTTACAAGGAAAATGTGAACATCCTTTTGTCACATGGTAACTGCACCCTACAGAGTCATGAGTGGAGTTACACCCAACCTTCTCCAGACAGCTGGATAAAGCACTGTGAGCAGGAAAACACAGCAAAGTAAAGGGCCTGAGAAAGCTTGTTGGAAGTTACTCATACCATGTTTGCAAGGACAGAAGCCACTCATGTTTAAGACAGGCTTGGGCGGTAAGTGGTTTCTCTGGATGCATCTAATGAACAGTCTACTTACTTACTTATTGACTTATTTGAAAGGAAGAGGGAGTGAGGGGGAGAGAGAGAGAGATTTGTTGTCCCACCCATGCATTCACTGGTTGCTTCCTGTCTGTGCCCTGATCAGAGATGGAAGCTGCAACCTTGGTGCATCGGGACGATGCTCTAACCAACTGGGCCACCCGGCCGGGGAACAGTTTACTTTTATTTTTCCAACAATCTTTTGTTGAGGTTCAGAGCACACTCCGCGTAGACAGGCAGAAGAGACTCCCCCATTCAAGTTTAAAACCTAGCAGGGGTGAAAGAGCCGCACCTCAGTTCTGTTCCCCAAATAAACTAAGACATTCCTGGAAATTCCATTATTTACCTTCAGGAATTTAATCATTTTCTTCACCACCCCGGCTCTGAGGGCCTCCTCGACAATTTTCAGGGAGGAAGGAAGGGTGCGGCTGAGAACGCCAGCAGCTCTCTGAGGGGAGCAGAAAGTTAAAGGGTAATTAAAAGTTCTTTTCAGAGAAGCTGAAAACCTTTAAAGTTAACAAGGGTGAGGTAAAACAGTCATTAATATTGGAAGCAAAATTTTCACCTTGATTTTAAAAATGCGTAATGGCGAAGTAATAGACAGCAAGCACTGTTGTTTGTAACATGGGCGTGGGGAGGCCATTCAAAGGGCTGCAAACATTGCCCCGGCACAGGGAGGCCAGTTTATTTCCCTTCACACAGGGCCCCTGTTCACCGCTGGGCAAGCGCTGCCTGGATACTCCGCAGCGCCGACACCAGCACCATGGTGAACTTCCTGGGTCGATCCTCTGTGTCTGTTAGCTTTTCCTTTACCTGTTCCGAATCTCTTTCTGTTCTATTTTCTGGGAGACTTCGGTTCTAATTTTCTATATAGCAAGCTGTTACTACAGCCGGCTATACTACTACTTTAAATTTTTCTGAGGATACAAATAATAGTTATTAGTTTTTTCCTACTTCCTATACAATCTCTGTTGGGTTTTTTTAAAGTTAATTTTTCTGTTTATCTTGTTTTTTCTATTTACGAGTATGGCTTTCCTGAAATGTCTGGTGACCCTCGCTGCCAGTCACATTTACGAAGGAGGTAATAAAACATGTTTCGGTGCGCTGTGTTTATGGGAGGTTGCAGCGAGCTGGTGGAAAGTGGCACTCCCCAGCACTAGACAGCAAATGTCTTCTCTGGTCTTCTCGTGCTTTTGCAGAAATGTGCTGAGATTTGATGCCCGAGGGACAGAGCTTGGCGGCGGAGTGCAGCCCCCTCGCTCACACTTCTGCCCCCTGCTGCACCTGGTATTTTGAAGTTTCTGCCTTCTCCAGGTTACTGCAGGACAAACCTGTGACCTTCCCAGCTGCGTTCCCCGCAGTCTGCGCTCTACACCAAGGTTTCCCCAGCTCTGCCTTCTTCTTGTGGTGATTTTCCACCTTCCAGAAACTACTGACCCCTGGTGTCCTCTTGCTTGTTCACTTTGTCAATGTGGGTTTCTACTTTATTCCCCTAATGCCTTTAGTCTTGTTTTAATGAGATCTCTGGAGGGAGAAGGCATAGACTTGTGTACTAGCGTATTATCAGTCTTGTTTCCCTGTCTGCTTCCCATGGGTGCTGGAACGCTGCCACAGTTGACAGCCAGATCTCTTTCCAGGCCCAAGACAGTGAGAGCACCCCACGGAAGGATGGATTCCCCTGCTGAAGCTGCTTCCCCACTCAGCACACCAGCCTGCACCCAACTGTGGCACATGTAGAGTCCTGGGGAAGTCCGGCCAAGAGAGTCCTTGAAAGGTTAGCATGAAACTAGTGTTGAGACCATCAGAAAGGCCCAACTATCCAAGAACAATGATGCTCACACCTTTTGGGGTCATGGATGTTTTCTGAGGATCTGATGGGAGTTGTGTTGCCCCCTACTTGAGAAAATGCACATACAATCAGAATTTTCCACACAATTGCAGGGGTTCCAGGGAACTGCAGACCTGCCACACGTTCCTAGAGCCCAGGTTAGAACCCTTCACCCTATAACNAATTGCAGGGATTCCAGGGAACTGCAGACCTGCCACATGTTCCTAGAGCCCAGGTTAGAACCCTTCACCTTATAATGCCTGAGCTGACTTCAGGGACGTGTGGCCATGCCAGCTCCAAAAAGGATATAGTGGATCTACTCAGAATTCTTACCACCACCCTGAAATGGGTCCCCTGTCTGTGATCTTTGAAGTGCTGGTTTCCCAGGCTGCCTTGGATGTGACCCAGTTGTTTTTCTGGGCTTTAGAGCCCTGAACTACTAGGTGGGAAAGTTGGGGTGATTCCTGATGTGAGTTGAGCACATCCTAGGATGATGGCAAAGAGCCTCCTGAACCACACACCTTGTTGACTGGCTATTTCAAGCCAGAACTAGCCTGTGTGGCCAGCTACTTGGTCAGTAAGGTGTTTAAAATTACTCAAATTAATGTAAGTGCAGACACGAGTTATCTCGTGACCAGTCAGCAATGCTTGCACATGGAAATATGTGTGCTCATGACCAGTCAGTAAGGTGTTAACATTCTCCTAATGCACTGTGCTAGCCATCGGCTTTCTCAGTTTTCTTATCCAAATGTCAGAAACGGAAGTTAAAAAGCCATTCCAGCATGCACTCCAGGGGGGCTGAGGCGATTATGCACAGACAGCCTCTGGGATCACTGGCTTCAAAACATGGGTTTGGTGTTGATTATGGAAAAAGAGATTCTGCATAAAATCACGTGACCTGTTCCATTTGCACAAGGATATCTTGAAATAGGACAAATCAGTGAAGCCCCAGACCAGACAGAAAAGGGCTCCTGGACTCCAGGGGCTCTGTAGATGAGCACTGGGTGGGGGTCACCAAATCCCATGAAGCTAAAGGCGAATTTGATGTTTGTGTGATTAGGGGCACCATTCTGAGGAGCATGTCCTCCTTGTCCCTCAGAGAGCTGGCAGAATCTCCAAGGTGTGGTGGCTTCAAAAGGGTAAGATACACCAATATCAGAATGACACAAAAGGGAAACAAAGGATGCTGATCCTGGGTCTCCTGGGAGAATCTTACTGTGAGGATTCCTCCGTCCTGGCTGTTCAGCAGAGACATGCACCGCCTGCTCACCTCCGTGGCCCAGACCTGCAGTGATGGGGCAGGAGAAGGGGATGGGAATGATCTGGTAAGCTGAGTCCTCTATGGAGCTCCCTCTGAGCATCCACCTAGAGCTGACCACCTCCTGCTCATCACGGCCACACTCCCTCACAACACCCTCCACTGCTCTCCACTCATGACAGGGCGACACCTTGAGGGCAGGAGCACATTTTATTTGACTTTGTTAATGCAGAACCTAGCACCATGCTCAGCACATCCTGGACACTCGATTTTCTGAATGCACCTGACCGAGTGACTCGCCCATTCCTCAGCGATACAGAGACTGAGTGTCCACCCAGCTTTCCCCATTCCCACTGCATGCTGGAGTCCATGGCTTCCAGCTCTTGGTGAAAATGAGGACAGTTCTATTGCATTTAGGTTGTCCTAGCGTTCCAGGTAGGGAGAAACNCAGCTCTTGGTGAAAATGAGGACAGTTCTATTGCATTTAGGTAGTCCCAGCGTTCCAGGTAGGGAGAAACGAATACTGTACCTCAGAGACAAAGGGGGACTGAAGACACAGGTTCATCATGAGTCCCAGGAGTGCATATAAGATGTCCCTGAACAGGTCCACCTCCTCCTCACACCTGGCCTTTGGAAACAAAACAAGGTAATCCATGACCTTTCTGCCTGGCAGTTTTTCAAAATATGTGTATTTTTTTATTTAATTGATTTTAGAGAGAGAGCAAGGGAGAGGGGGAAAGTGAGAGAGAAACACTGATCATCAATGTGAGAGAGAAACATCGATCAGTTGTCTCCCATATGGAGATCGAACCCACAACCTCTTGGTATACGAGACAATGCTCCAACCAACTGAGCCACACCTGTCAGGACTGCGTTGCAGCTTCTAAAGTCATCCCTGTGAAGTCGACACTATCGCCTTGGCAATAGTCTCAGCATTACTCAAACTCCCTGTATTGCCAATGTCATGAACCTACATGACGCTGGGAGGTTAGAGACCAGGGTAAGAGTTGGCGTCAGTTTGGAACAGTAACAGGAGTCTCTAGGGCCTCTGCCATGTGACTGGTTCAGCCTGGTCCTGTGTTTAAACTGAAAAATGAGCTGCTCAAATGGGTGGCCAAGCTGACTCTGCCAGGAAAGCCTTCAAAACTCTCCAGGGAGAGCGGGGCCTGATGTGGAGGGCTTGCTAAGGCAGCCGGCCATAAATCTATGGTTATAGAAGGAAGAGCCACTGGCTCTAGCACCCTCAGAATTTTTGGAAAATCTAGATAATGAAGAAGAAGCCAACACCCCCAAAGCAGATAAGAGACCAGCTTTAAGTGGAAAATCTAAAATACCATGAGATCCAAGCAGGCATCCCCAAATTCTTGAGAGGCAGACACCTGTCCTCGGATGGTAGCATCAGCGCTGAGGTTTCCCATGACGGCAATACACTGGCTGAGAGCTGAGGTGTTAGCTACCTTGGGATCTCTCCTCTGAAAGTGAATGGAGAGAAAGCAAATGAGCAGAGAGCGGGCAGATGGTGCCCACATCATCTCTAGGGCACCCCTCATTCACCAAAACGTCTGAGAGCCAGAGAGCACAATGTCACCTCAGGGCATCAATGGGGTCGTGCTGGCCATAAGGTGCAGGCACACAGGGGTAACTCCAAAGCACGCTGGCCTGAGACACAGAGGCCTAGGGCTAATCCCAGGGACACCACCAGCCAGGCTGGAGAACAGGGGCAGTCCAACCATTCTCAGAGCTTCTACTTCCACACCTGAAGTACTGGGCTGTGGACATGCTAAGGTCCCCTGACCTCTCTGGCTCACCACGGACAGCGTCTGGTAACAGTTTACTCTCCTAGAACTCCCCCACCCCCTGACTCTTTCCTGCCTCCTCAGCTCAAATCACCACACTTGCCCTGATGACTTTCATTTAGGGACAGGGCTGCACACAATCATTATGATGAGACTTAGATTCACCAGGGGACTGATGAACATGACAACCTCTCTCCGCCTCCGCCTGAGGCAGAGTCCACTCCAGCTTTCTCTCCCCTGTAATAAGCTGTGCATATGCCACCTCCGCGCGTCCTAACTATGGCTGCTTTACTAACAAAGAACTGTGTAAGTTCCAGCAGTGGATAAATGATGAAGGGGCCCGAGAGACACCGGGAGTTCTGGAGTGTAACTGTGTTTAAAGGCTCTGCTCATGCTCCTGAGAGCCTGTCAGAGATTATAAAAATGAGACCTGCTCACCAGAACACCCGTGAGAGCCGGGAGTACACCTGCGAGGCTGGCCTGGAACCAGACTTGGAATCTGTTGAGAAAACATCAGTCATGATTCGTTTCTACATTGCACAAACTATAAGAGAAATACAGGGTCTCAGGTAGTGTGAAGTCACAGACTCCGGGCCCCTGTGCTATGCCACGTGCCTGGATGGCTCATTCGGAAACAAATGAGAATGTCCCAGGTATATAATGCGGCTTTAATTTCTCTAAGTCTGAAGAACTGCCTTTGATGTTAAACATCAGATCTCAGGTGGCAGCACATATGCAGAAACTGCTGGAATCCATGGGCTTCTGCCAAACTGACTTACCACAACCCCTGCCCTCCCCTCGCTCTGGGTCTGCGCAGGGTGCTGTGCGAACAGGAAGCGTGTTTCCCGCCACAGCCAGGAGGACGCCCCACGTGTGAGCGCAGCCAGCGCAGTCCCAGCCTGTGCGGGGGCCTGTCTAGGAGCACAGGCGGCCCTCCCTCATTATGATCATTTCTAAGCAAGATGTCCCAAAGGTGGTGAGAAAATTAAATGAACAAACAAGAGGCACTGAAAATAAAACACTTAAGAATTACGAGAAATGTAAGATGTTTACTGTCTTCCCCAGCAGCTAAGCAAGAAAAAGGGGCGGGGAGGATGGTTACCCATAATGCCACAGGCTGCGGTTCACTGTGCTCCCCTCTCTCGCGGGTCCATGCACAAGCGCTAGGCAGTTCCCATCAGGTGCTGATCAAGGGAAGAAGCTTCTCTAACACACAGTAGGCTTGTTTACTATAGGTACTGTTTTAAGTATGTTACTGCTTCGAACCCCACTGAGCGCGGGGTGCCCCTGCCCCCAGGGGCTGGGCAGGAGCGGCGCCCATGCCCCGGGGAGGCAGCAGCCCTCCACTCCGCGAACCCTGAGGCTCAGGGCCCAGCCTCCCCGCCTTCCCGTACGCCATACGCCCCACATTCTAAAATACCAGACCGTCAACAACCGTTCACTAAGAAGTATCAGTTTCTGTAAATAAATGTTACCTTTCTTCCAGAGCCAAGTCTGTGAGCAGTCCCATGGCCAAAGCGGCCCTCTTGTCTGAGAATTCAAGAAATGACACCAGGGCTTCCAACAATCTGCAAAAAATCCAGAACCCCCTCAGAGAGGGCAGAGGGCTGTCCTCCGACTGACAGCATTTCCAACAAGGAGGCCTTGCAGGGAGGCCAGGGAGGAGTCAGCATCCAGGCCCGGCTCCTGGCCGACCCCAGTGAGACAGACTGACCTACGAGAATGGCTCTATCACCTAATGTGAGGTCCCAGGGGGTTGAACAGTTTTAACCAAAGGTCACTGATTATCAGCCGACTTGGAAGGAATCACTGGGGCTTCTGTCATGTGACACTGGTTCAGCCAAATTCAATCACATAAAGGACATCTATTTTTTTTAAAAAATAAGTCTTGATTGATTTCAGAGAGAGGAAAGGAGAGGGAGAGAGAGAGAGATAGAAACATCAATGATGAGTCATTGATCAGCTGCCTCCTGCACACCCCTGACTGGGGATCCAGCCCACAACCCAGGCATGTGCCCTGCCTGGGAATCGAACCCTGATTGCCTGGATCCTAGGTCAGCACTCAACCACTGAGCCACACCGGGCCAGGCTAAACGACATCTAAATGGCATGCTTACTAATGTGCTGATGACTTCAGTAGGAGGGCCCCCTAATGAGGTGGGGGATGGAATAAGATTTCACAAGGTTTTGACAGGCTGCTGAATATGTCAGATGAAATTTAATACAGTTAAACTCAAACTCCTCCACTCAGAGCTGGGAATTCGGTATAAGTAACAGAATTGGGAGACCTGGTTTATAACTGGTTCATATGAAAAAGATTTAAGGGTTATTAGGTAACTGCAAACCCATCATGAGCAAATTGTCTGCTGGAGTTGCCAAAAAAAACCCTAATGCAGCTTCAGGCTGCCCTAATGGACTGAGCAGCCCCCGGATGAAGTTGGAGCCACGTGTCCACCCAGCAAACCCATACTCAGCATCCAGTGGGGTACAGTGCTGAGTACCTGGGCTCCCACAGTGACACGTGTGTTAGGTGATATGTCAGAACCAGATTCATGTAAAGTGGGCACAGAGTCTACCTGGTGGGCAGTGTGGGAGGGTGGAGGTGAAGGCGGCTTCAAATTGCAGGTGACATTTCAGCTGTCACTTGAATGTGGAGTGCTGGCTTTCTGTTCACTATGTGCCAGGCAACGTGGTAGGTTCTGGGGCCACAGTGATGAAAACAGACAATGTCGCAGCTCCAAGGAACTCACAGGCCAATGTCAGGCACACGGGACTAGAGCAGGAATTTCAGGGACAGCACAGAGTTCACAGGCGATGAGGCATCAGACAGCAGGGCACACATGGGGACTGCTAACAGTTCTTCACAACCAGTGCTTAGGGTGTGAGGAGAGGACAGGGAGCGGAGAGGGTGCAGAGCTGGACAGGCCAGCTGGGTCCTGGTGGGCCATCTGTGGCCCACTGGAAAGTCTATTCTACGCCGCAGGACTACATGTCCCCAGTGTGGCTGGGAGAGGACTTACTTGGTAGTGGTGCGGGGGGAGGCAGATTCTTGAGCCCACCTCAGTCTCTAGTGGACAGAGGCTGCACTTAAACAAAGTGCCAGGTGATTCCTGCTCTAAGTGAGGGAACTGGGTCTTTTTCAGTTTAAGCACCCTGGTTTCCCTGTGGTTTGACTTCCAGATCCAGCCTAGAACAAGCTGCAGAATCAATCCAGTAACACAGATGTGGATGACTAGCGCCCACGCTTCTGACCTTCAGGGACCCACCTGATGGGCTCTTCTCTGCCTTTTCCTCATGGCATTCAGTCCCATCGATGCCATTTTTCTAGCCCTCCTACCCCTTGGCTTTTTCCTTCTTGGATTCCTTTTTGAGCCCCCTTCATGCTGTCACCTTCCACGTCAGGGACCCCAGGGTCCTACTCTGGGCCCTGCTCTCATCCATGGTCTTAGTTATCAGCCATAAACACCTCTCCCCGAAAGTTCTAGAAGGAACATCTTCTACACCACGGACATCTCTATTTCAACACCATGAGTGTCACAAATTTAATCATTCAAAGTGGCTTTCAAATCAGACCGTCTGCCTGCATTTTCTGTCTTCAAAGGTGGCATTTCCATCCCCCGAGTTGCCTGAGCCAGCATCCTGGGAGATCCCTGGCTGGCCCCCACATCTGTAGACAGTGCACTGTCAGTCCCACCTCCTCAGCAGCTCCTGCATTCCTTTCCTCTGGCTCCTTTCCAACGTCTCTCTCCTGTCATTCCTTCTAGGTCACTGAGCAGCTCTCTTCTCCACTGTACGTCTGTTCTGCCTCCACCCTGGTCCAGTCTTAACCTTTAGTCTTGGCAATCCGTTTTCCCCTTCGTGGACTCCCTGCCTCCTGTCCTACCTGCCCCAATCCAGCCTCTGCTGTGCTGCCAAAGGAGTTTGTCTAACATGCTATCTGTCCTGTTATTTTCCTACTGAAAACACTAACGTGATGATTGCCTATGAGACTAGTTCTCCAGCTGCTGAGAAATACAGTGCTTTGCTGATAAGCAGATCAGAAAATGAATGGTCTAACGTACCAATTAGACCAATGTACCAATAAATTCACTTTCGTGTCAGTTTAGGACTCTGAGCTTAGACTCTGAAGAGAGCAAATGAGTATAAAGTTATTATTGAGTCCGTACCACGTGCCAGGAATGACACCAGCCACTTCCCTTACTGCGGTGGATGCTGTTTGCTGAACCCCACGGAAACCCTGCTATCGCCATTCATCCAGCCTGACTCTACTGTAGAAGCCGGGACCATTTTCCTAGTCACAGGTGGCATGTGACACAATTCTGACCAAAGAGAAACAGAAGCAGTCATTTCTCTTATGAAAGGGACAGGCCTGGCTGGTGCTAAACTGTCCTAAAGGGGGATGTGATGGTTGGAGTTGCAGCAGCCTGTGAGGCCATGAGGGAAGGGTCAGAAGGACAGACCTTGACTCTGACATCTCGAAGCCACTCAACCAGCTACTGCCATCTTTAGTCTCTTCTGTTACAAGAGAAAAACAAGACCAGCTTCTCCTGGTCATGTATTCTGTAGCATGCAACATAAAATGCTGGACTGGCATATGCACAACACCACTCAAGCTTCGGCATAAGTCTGTGATCCTAGAGGAGAACCCAGGCTCACCATGGCTGAGTAACTTTCCTGGGCCACACAAGTTGACAGACTCAAGCAGAGGGTTTGGGCTCATGACCACTTGCACTCAAAGACCTAGCTCTTTCCACAAAGTGGCACTGGCCTTCACCTGGTTCTGTCACTGTCTACTTGTTCCTTCCACGTGTCACATGGGGAAAAGCACTGTTGGAGGAATGTGATGTGTGTGCCTCTGTGAGGCCATGGAGCTTGTGTGCAGCCCTGTCCTGCTTAAAACCATCTCATTTCGTTTCAGAGAGCACATTCCACCTCTTCTTGGCTTAATCAGAGGTAGACATTAATGAGAACAGCAGGCATTGAAGCAATAAGCTAAGGCTTTTGACTGGGTAAGGAGAGCAGGCAGGACTTCCAGGGATGATCATAAATGCCACTCTCCAAGACACTGGAAACATTCAAACTGAAACCCAAACCATTCAAAGACAGCTTAGGGGAAGAGCTTACGATAACTATAGCTACATTTACTCAGGGGTTGAGGAAGTGACTGCAGAGTCATCTGAAATGTGAAATGGGCTTCTGAGGATTTAACTCTGCAAGCGACCCATCTGCCCATATGGGCTGAGCCTCAGGAGTTGCCATGGCCCTTCCTGGGAACTGTCCTGGCTGTGACTGGGCCTCAAGCTGCTGGAGCCACAACCAAGGCTTAATAAGCACTGTGCCCTTAGCACACATGGACCTCCCCACCTGCATGGGACAGGTGCTGAGGTCTCAGCTGGGCCAAACAGAGAAAAGGAGCTGGGCTTCAGGGCCAGGGGGAGATTCTTCCATTACCTGCTGCAGTTTCCCTGCCCCTGGTGTGAGCCATAGTAGTAACAATTATCTTGCCTACATCCCAGGCTGAGAAGAGATATAATGAGGTAACAATGAAAAGAATCAGAAGCCAAATTCAGTTTTTAGACTGTGTCTGAAGCACGTATAAAGCAAGCTGTATTTATTGCTACTGTTCCTATTAGGTTGAATGAATTACATGCAATTGCCACCGTGCACCTTTTTTGATGTAAAAAATGGCAATTTCACATGTTCAAACTACTAATCTTTAGGCTAAAGAACACTGGGCAAAATCATTATAGTTCAGTAATTTTTTACATAAAGTCTACTTAGGGGAGGCACATTCTATTCCCATGGCCTTAAGCCTTGGGAAGACCTACGTGGAACAATATTCGAGATGTGTTTTATTTATTAATATTCTACTGTGCTCCAGAGGGGGTTAAGAACATGCAAAATCAGACAGTGCTACCTCAGACATGAACAAAGTATGGACAGGGACAGGGACAGGACAGGGACAGGGCTGACACTAAAAGTGCAGAAGCAATGACCTATTTTAAGATCGGGCTCCCGGCCTCATTGTGGAAACACGATTTACACCGTCTGCCATGTCTGTGAGATAGAAACATGCCAGGAGGAGCAGAACTGTCCATGGGACCAGGCTCAGACAGAAGTCTGTCCCGAGGGTACTCATGGGGGAGTGTTCCTTTCACACACAGGGGTCCATCCTGCGGGTGGGTGCTCATGGGGGACTGTTCCTTTCAAAGGCCCTCTCTGTTATGGGTCCTTAGTAAGTCAGATGGCACATGTTCTGTCAGAGATATGGAGAGGGAGAAAGGCCCGTCTTAACTCGGCAGGTGATGCTCCGAGACCTGGCGGACCTCCTTACCGGGTCAGGTCGAGGTGGCTGATGATCAGGCCGCGGCCGTTCTCCGTCTGGCTGAGCTGCAGCAGCAAGGCCAGGCTCTGCTCCTGGATGGACAGGACCCTGGAGGCCAAGAGGGAAGGCAGCAGCCTGCCTGCCTCCGGGCGCACCAGGAGCAGGCGCTGGTTTTCCTCTGTGAAACAGGGAGCATTCCCCATGTGCGCAAAGCGACAGCGATTAAACCAGCTCTGTCCCTACCTCCCAACAAGAAGCCCAATTCTCCATTCATCTGCGAGGTGGGATAGTGACATGTAAGGGCACCGACTCTAGAACTAGACTGCTGGTCCGAATCACCAGGTGAATGACGTTAGCCAATCTATGAAATCCCATGCATTTCTGTTTCCTCACCAGTGAAATGAGAGAGATGACACTAACAGGGTTGAGTTACTACATGATGGTGCTCACAGCAGGGACAGGGACTGGTGCACATATATGAGCATTACTATTCCTGTCAAAGGCTCCCTGGTATGTGTATAGGGAAATGTGAGGAAAGGGGAAGAAGTCAGCTGAATTGTGGAATATCTTTAGACCATCAACTTTCATATAATGGCCAGAGTAACCATTTGAGTTCTTTCTGGAAAACAGACTATCCATGAGAACATTCATGAATAAAGCATGCCCCCTTCCCAGACTAGAAGCCATTTCCAGAGGAGAGGCAGTCGACTGACCCCCCTCACTGGGTCATTTTCTAAGCAGGTACGTGAATTTGTTTGTGGGCAGGCTGGGTGCAGCTGGAGTATGTGGCTAAGCTATGAAGCAGAGCAGTTTGTTTAGTTCCTATAGTTTTTCTTATACTGGAAAAGTGACTCACTGTAAACAACTGAAATAACAGAAGGAGAGTAAAGCTGAAAATGAAAGCCCCCTTCTCTTGTACCCCTGCCAGGTGAGCCCATTCCTGAAAGGAGCTACTATTCACCCCTTGTGTGAATATTGTTAAAAGAATGATCCACCCTGCACTGCCCCTGGCTTCTCTCTCCCACTCAGCAACCTATCTCAGATATATTCCCATGCCCTTACTTTGTAGCAGTCCCGTGTCATTTTAAAAAACTGCTTTGTGTTTATTGAGTTGGATACACCAAGATGCCACTGATCGGAGACAGAGCATTTGCATCACCAGCTGTGCCTGACAGTATTTTCAGATGTTAAAGAAAAACATGACACAGAGTCCTCAGAAAGCAGAGCGGACACTGGCTGAGGAAGTCAGGACTGCACAGCACACAGAAGGGCAGCATGTCCCATGCACACGGCCACCAAGCCCTGCCTCACTTGTCTTCCTGTAGGAGGATTTCCAAAATCACCGCCCCAGAGTGGTACAGCATCACAGAGAGTAGCAGCCGTCTCGATAATATTAGTCTGAGCATAATGCCCTTCAGGACAGAGGCCCCATATTCTCGAGTTTTCTAGAACTTAAGATGATTCCTCCACAATAATAAATGAAAAAAATGATCTTATCTTATATTCAGCTTTTTCTAGTTTACAAATTACATTCACAAGCTCTCTCACTGGCTCCTCACAGGAGCCCCATGAAAAGAGACACAGTTACCATTATTCTATTTTCAGTATTTCTGTCCAAGGTCAGATCTTTCCCCATAAAAATACAATTTAAAAAAAAAGGGAAATGATTCAATATTTTACTTACCTTGAGGTCATAAAAGTGATCAGATTCTATAAAAACTTAGTAAACCCCAGAAGATGCTAATATCTAAAAAGCTCAGTCAGCAAGGTAAATATCCTCATAGCACTTTACTGTTCCGATATTACACACTGATCAGTGTCACGAGATGCTGGCAGACGATCATAAAGCTCACGATGCTGAACTGGGGACCGTGGTCAGCAAAAAAACCCCAATATTTTTAGGCTGATAGGAAAGGACAAGCTCTGCCACCCCACTGCCAACACATGGGCAGAGGCCATGAGTCTGCAGAGCAGGGCAAATGCCCAGGTGATGAGACTACTCATTGCGCTTACAGTGGCCTTGGCCATGGTGAAGGCAGCTGCAAGGGTGCTGGAGACATAGCCGGGTACAGGCCTTATTTCTGATCCATATGTTTTTTCTGAGGGAAGGTCTAGACATCAAGTCTCCAGGGCCCGGCCTCTGGGGGAACAATCTTGTCTGCCCCCACAGCTCCCGCATTAATGGGCATTAATGACGACTAACTGGGATGGGCCAGGCTCACCATTCCCGCTGCACACGGCTTGCCAGAGCCTGAGAACAGACACACACACAGTCTCTTCTGCTGCATCTTTCCCTTCTGAGGCAAAGCACCTGGAATAAACAAAGGAGAACAATGTTAGAGGTTGAACTCAGTGCTGATCTTCTTTCCAGTTGGTTTTATTTCACCAACAGAGCCCTATAATGTGGGGTTGAGAGAGTGATTTTATAACCCAGAGCTGCAGGTCTCCAGGACCACAGGGCTGCTGAGCACTGGACTGAGAGCTCCAGACAAGGCTGCAGGCCAAGGAGTCTGGGCTGCTCGCTGGGTGGGTGCGAGGCCGGGGCCATGGACAGCAGTTGCACCAAGGCCAATGCACGGTGGGCCAGTGTACCACTGAGGGCCCCTCACGCATGCAGGCATGTGCTGGTGACTCCAACCCACGGCAGTGTCCTAAGCCTCAGAAATTACACCAGAATAACTGAAACCCCCCCAAAATAAAAATAAATTTAGCAAACAACCTCCTATCCTATGGATCCTTCTTCAGATGAAATTATAACTGGGAGCAGCCAGGACCCAGCTGATCTCATTTCCTGATATGATCAGCAAAATCCCAAGAGGGGAAGAACAAATAGCAACCTTGCAACTGGTGGGAAACCAACAAGAACGGTCACTTCTCTGACTTTGAAGTGCCTGGAGAAACCCTGGGAAGTTTTGCTGACCTTTCTCTGCAGTGGTTGATTGTGGCATAATTCAAACTACTCGAGGGGCAGAGCTCAAGGGGTGTGCACACAGCATCTCTGCACTATCCAGGGGCCACAATACTGACTGAGGGTGGGATCATCCAGTGAAGTCGCTGCCTGTGTCATTAGGGTCCGATTTCAGGAGAAGAGCTTGTCCTTCCTTGCATTGATGCTCCTGTCTTTACAAACATTCCTACCTTCTTATCACCTCATTCCCACTGATGATACTGAATCCATTGTGTGTTCTGAATAAAGTTCGCTCTGTGCCTGAAACAAATTCAGAGAAAACCGCGTCATACTCCTGATGCCTGGCTGATGTCAGGCTGTAACGGAGCCAGCCAATAATGAGGGGCCCGACAGGAAACGTCAGTCATCAAATTACAGTTTGGGAAGAAACATATACCTTTACATTGTGAAACCTACAGCTGTCATCCGCCACCCAGTGCCCCAGTGAGAGGGACATCCTGTTCAGATCAAGAGAGCCAAGACTGGCGGCCCCGCGGGTCATCAACAGCTCCTCATTTTGTCATCTTTAGAGTCCCCAGGAGCTGCTTAACTGCCAGGAAGAACAAGCATGTGCATCTGTTCTTCAATATTTATTTTGAAGCTGTTTCCAGGCTCTGGAGAGAAGCCTGCAATTTCCAATAAACTACTGCAGAGAATACGTGAGCACCCCCCACTGTGTACTAAAGGGAGGTCAGCGACTCCATCTATTTGTGCAACCAGCATCCTGTTACTGAGTCCCCAAAATGGTTTAAGCCCTGGTATCAATGTTTCCAAGGACCGGTAAGAGAAAGCAGTGTGGCTCCCATTAGCAGAAGGAGCTGGCATTTGCTCCGAAACTATTTATATCCCTAAGCAACCATTAATTGTAACTGGGGTGAACCTTGCAGTTTACCCTACAAAAATTCCATCTTCCATTTCCCTGCGGTTGGGGAGAGACTTGTGGGGGTAGTACAGGGTGCCTGGGGTGTATATGGGGCATTGTCAGGTATGCAAAGGGTACATAGATATGTGCAGGAAGGGCGGAGCATGTGAGGGGAGGGGTGAATATGTGTGGTATACGTTATGTGATATAAGTATATATAGTGTGACGTGTGTACATGATGTGTATGTGATGTTAGTGTGCACAGAATGAGTGCACAATGTGTGTGTTATGTGTACATGTGTGTGGTATATGTGAGGTAAGAAAATACGTGTGTGCATGCTGTGTGTGTTGCAATGTCAATAAGTGTCCACAGAATGAGTGTACGCTGTGTGTGTGTGTGTTGTGTGTGCGATGTTTAGTGCTTGCATGTTGAGTAAATGCCTGCTCTGAGCAGAGGATGGAGCTGGGGTGGGGTGCCCTTCTTTGCACCCCCTTTTCCACCTGCATTTTAGTAGCTCTTCAATCAGTATCTGTGGAACGAAGGGAGTCTCAGTCATGAGGGCAAACACTAAACTCTGGCCCTTTACACTGACAACATTCACGAGACCACACACGTCCCTGGCTTACAGTCCTTCATCATTTCAGTCAGGATTTCAATGCCCCCTGCATAGAACAAGGGGTTCTGGTCGGGCTTGGAAAGAGTCTCCAGGAGATGCTTGGTCGTCACGGCTGTGTTGTTTCCTGAGTCCAGCAATTCATGGGCTTCCTTCTCCTGGAGGTCTGCCTTCTCCCGGAGATCTACTTGATTCAGGTAATCTAGCAAAACAAGATGGAAACAAAACAAAACAAACCCTAACATCCACGGCACCACACGTGGAGAAACCTGTGAGGGTGGGGCGTTGAGAGGCCCAATGCATTAAAGTAACTCAAACGCATCTTCCGCAAGGGACATTTTAGGAATAGTGTACAGTCTGTGCCAAGGACCTTAAAGCACCTTGGGGATGCAACAGCAATAGTATTCCCCGTCTAGAAGGCCCTAGAGGAGGAGGGTGTGGAAAGGGGGAAGGCAAAGATCTGAGATGGAGAACAGAGGAGGGAGGCGCAGGGCAGCCTGCTGTCGAGGACTGGCCTGCGGGCAGGAGGGCTTTGCAGCTGGCTCCCAGGAGGCAGGGAAGGCAGCCCGGGGCCAGGGCAGGGGGAAAGGACATCCGCAGGCACATTCTCACCTTTCACCCGTGTCTGCAGCTGGGGGTTTATTTCNCATTTAGTATGTTAAGGTACCACAATCATCACATTTTTATTGTGCGTCCTCTGACTTTTTCTCTACCCTTTGAAGTCTCTCATCTAAGAACTAGAAGTTGTCCTAAGCTCATCCATTCTAATGGCCCCATTTTCCATCTGAAGAAATGGAGGCCTAAAGATACTCAGTCTTCAACTGCAAATTACAGTTATGTGGTGGAAGAACTTGAATTCAGTGCTCATTTTATCAACTGAGTCTGCAAAGAAGTATAGAATGTGCTGATGTGAGTGGCTGCGGAGTGGGCATCGGGACTGTAAAGGGATACAAAGGAATGAGATCAGCCTCCATTAGCCAGAATAGTGGATTAGATATTGTGTGAGTGTCTTTAATACCAAAGGAAAAATAGAACATATTTCTCTAAGTACATAGGAGGAGATTATGAAATAGAATTTATGATGAGAATGCATTCATGGAAGAGAAATGAAATGCACTAAAAGTAAGTATTCTGATATTTTACAACAATGAATTGATGCCCCCTTAAAGGGAATTTGATGTGTATTGTGAGATTATCCAAATTAGGTACTTTTTAGTGTAGTTCCTTCAGAAGCAGATGATTCTGACTGTGCAAGCTTTTTACTGCAGAATCCCCCAATTTAGGTAAATCACACAGCAAGGCTACAGCTGATGTTCATGACCTCAGGGATCTGAATACAGGACAGTGGAATGGGGTGAGGGTGGCAGAAGCAGACAGAGTTTAAAGTTTCATTTGTCCACATCTCAATTCTTTCAGATTCTAGGTTCCTGATATAGAATGTTGCCATTTTATAGGTATTAAGATTTGTTATCTTTATGTGAATGTGCAAGGTTTTTTGTAAACATCTTGTGAAATTATAATAATTATTTGCTTTTAGAGGAGAGAAAAGAAGGGGGGAGGGGGAAAAAAAAAAAAAAAAAAAAAAGACCTTGACAAGTGGGTAGGGGTAAAGGTGATTATAAGACAGACAGTGAGTATCACAAGGCTTGGCTCCTTCATTAGTTCCTCCTGGCCCTCTCCTGCTCCCAGCACAGGAGGCGGGCATAGGAGCACAGCATGCATTTAAAATTTTGTTTAGGCTTCTCTAGGTCTGCGAGGCAACGGGTATGATTTCAAAATTTGTTTTTTAAAATAGTGTTGTCATATGGCCTGTGATGGAAAATAGTCCTAAATCCTTGTGGACCATGTCTGGCCGGGGTAGGAATCATCATAAGGTAAACACAGAATTCAGATATGATATTTGCACTGAGCGAGAACAGGAGGCTACCTGTGAGCTTTGCCCAAGGGAGTCAGGAAATAAACAAAGCTGGAGACATTGTTGACTGAGACTTGGGAACAGGGAACGAGAGGTGCCTACTTAAAGGTACAGAGCTGCAAAGAGCCGGGCATATGGAGTCAGCTAGAAAGCTGGAGTGAGGGGTTCTCACTGAGGAAGCTGTTAGAAAGTTTCTGGAAAGAGAAAGATTCTAGTTCATGTCGCATGATCCTGGGCTTAGGGCAGTGATGTCTTCAGGGATATCAAGAGCTGTCCAGAGTATAATACAACCAGGCACTAAGAGAAAAAAGAAACCAGTTCTGAGCTACATATTCTTAAGGTTTGTCTAGAGGATTAGGGGGAGTGGGTGGGGAGAGATTAACCAAAGAACTTATATGCATATATGCATAACCCACGGACACAGACAACAGTGTGGGGAAGGCCTGGGGGGGGGATGCGGGTAGAGGGGATCAATGTGGGGGGAATGGGACATCTCTAATACTTTCAACAATAAAGACAAATTTTAAAAAATAAACTGAAGAAAACCACATGAATCAGAGAACAGTGTCACAGAATGGGGGATACACATCAAACATGGTAACTGCTGTGAACTAAACGTTTGTTACCTGAAAACTCCTATGTTGAAACCTCAACCCCCAAGGGGATGTATTAGGAGGTGGGGCCTTTGGGAGGTGATTAGGTCGTGAGGATGGAGCCCCCATGAATGAGATTAGTGCCCTTTTGGAAGAGATCCCAGAGAGCTCTCTCACCCTCCTGGCTGCCTATGAACTAGGAAGTAGGTTCTTACCAGACACCAAATCTGCAGTGTCTTGAAGCTGGACTTCCCAGACTCCAGAACTGTGAGGAATAAATGTTTGTGGTTTAAACCCCCTGGTCTATTGTATAGCAGCTCCAAAGGACTAAGACAGTAACCCTGTCTGTATCCAACTTCTTTTTAACCTAAATCTAATCTATCAGCAATTCCTGTTGGCTTCCCTGTTGGTATGTATCCAGAAATCCATCACTTCTCATCACCTCCATCATCACCTCACTTGGATAATTTGTTGCAATAGCCTTATAACTGGTTCTCTGTTCTTTTATTACCATTCCAAAATATAGTCTCCATACAGCAGAGTGAGCCATTAACGCGTGAGTCAGATCATTTCCCTCCTTTACTCAAAACCTTCTAATGGCTCCCAGCTCACTCAAAGTAAAATCCAAGGTCCTCCCAAAGCCTGCAAGGTCATAGGGGATCAGTCCCTGACATACCCCATCACCTGCCTGACCTCATCTCTTATCAGTATCCTCCTTGTTTGCTCCATTCTAGCTCTCTCTTCACCTGGACCACTCCTCCATTATATATCCACGTGTTCTTTACTCCAGTACTTCCTTTCCTTTAGAGAGGTCCTCCCTGACCACTCTACACCTTCTCTGCTTCCTGGTTTAGTTTTTGTCAATAACATTATCACTACCCAACATACCACACATATACCTATTTGGTTTCTATCTCCTGGCCACCCCTGTCTGAAAAATATGAGTTAATTAAGTCAAGGAACTTTGTTTTCTTCATTGCTGCATTCCTGTGGCTAGGACAGTGCCTGGAACACAGAAAGCATACAATGCATATTTGCTGAGTAAAATAATTGAATGAATAAATGAGTGAACAGAATTTGGTAGACAGGAGGAGATTAACATTTTTTTCTTTCTCTATTGTTGGCCTTATTACAAATAAGACTCTTACTTTTAGAATTAAAACCCAAAAAAGAAAATAATTTTTTAAATTATTACAATAGGAGACAATTTCTTTTTAAAAATCTAATATCTTGTAAATGGAAAGACATTCCATGTTCATGGATTGAAAGACTTAATATTGTTAAGATGGCAAAACTCTCTAAATTGATCTACAGATTCAGTGCAATCTCCATCAAAATTCCATCTGACTTCTTTGCGGAAATTGACAAACTGATTCTAGAATGTGTTGGTAATCAAGAGACCCAGAATAGCTAAAATAATCCTTAAAAGGCAAAGTTAGAAGACTGTTTCCCAATTCCAAAATTTACTACAAAGCTATAGTACTCAAGACAATGTGGTATAGACTTAAAAACAGACACGTAGATCAATGGAACAAAATTGAGGGTCCAGAAATAAACCCATGTATTTATGATCAATTGTTTCTTGACAAGGGTGCCAAAATCATTCAGTGGGAGACAGAACACTCTTTTCAAGAAATGGTGCTGGATGACTGGATATCCACATGTAAAAGGGTGAAGCTGGATTCCTTCATCATATCATATACAAAAATTAACTCAAAGTGGGTCAGAGTTCTAACTTTGACAGCTAACACCAAAAACTTAAAAAAAACAAAAATAGGAATAAATCTTAGATTAGGCAATGACACCAAATGCATGAGCCACAAAAGAAAAATATAGGTAATGTGGACTTCATCAATATTTAAAATTTTTGTACTACAAAAGACACCATCAAGAAAGTGAAATGACAACACAAATATATGCCAATCGTTTATTGGATAAGGAACGTGTACCTATAGTACAAATATGGCAAAGAATCTGAAGAGACATTTCTCCAAGGAAGATATGCAGATAGCCAATAAGCACATGAAAAAATGTTCAACATCATTAGCAATCAGGGAAATGCAAATCAGCACTGAGATACCACTTTACACCCACTAGGATGGCTGTCATCAAAAAGACAGAAAATAACCCATATTGCCATTTCTCCAGGATGTGGAGAAATTGAACCATACACTGCTAGTGGAAATGTAAGATGGTGCAGCCATTTGGGAAAACACCTGGGCAGTTCCTCCAAAGGTTAAACAGAGTTGTCATGTGACTCAGCAGCTCCACTCCTAGGTATTGTTTACAATCAGGAGGGTCGTAAACAAATGTCACACAAAAACTTGTACATGGATGCTCACAACAGCCCAAGTGGAAACAACCCAAATGCTCATGAGCTGATGGATACATGCAATGTGGTCTCTCCATACAGTGGAATACTATTCAGCAGTGGCAGGAATGAAGTACTGACAGCACAACTTGGATGAACCTTGCAAACATTACGCTAAGTGAAAGAGGCCAGTCACAAAAGACCATATACTGTATAATTCTATTTCGATGAAAAGTCTAGAATAGGCAAATGTACAGAGACAGAAGCAGATTAGTGGTTGTCTAGGGACAAGGTGGAGGCAGAGGGAAAGGGGGTGACTGCTAATGGGTATAGGGTTTTGGGGGGAAGTGACAAAAATATCCTAAACTTGATTGTAGTGATGGTTTCACAGCTCTGTGGATATACTAAAAACCAGAGAATTGTATATTTCCCATAAACTGGTATGTAAATAAAGCTGCTGTTAATGATATATAATACCTTAGTGTGAAGATACACCTGCAGGATAACTTTTGGGTGATGAGGTTACAAGCACATTTTGTTTTCATCTCTTTGCTTCACCTTTCTCTCCAGAGGCACTTCCCCCAGGGCTGACTGAACACTGGTGGAGATATTGCAGAGGGGTTCCTACAGCAGGGGGCACTGCCCTAGATGACCTTCAACATCCTCCCCAACTCTAAGAGCTTAAGATTTACCCTGGAAAATACTAAGAGGTGGATTAATGTCTGACTGACTTGGAGGCACAAGGTTCTCCTCGAGACGACTGGAAGCAGTGTGGTGATCAAACGTGCCCTCGCATCCTTTTAGGAACTTACCATGCTGTAGTTCTTCAGAGCCAGGTGGGCTTTCCCCATGTGGAAATAGGCCTTTGTGCATTTTTCATCACACTGCATGAAAAAGAAGGATAAACCAGAGGTTTCAGAAGATTTGGAGTCATCAGGATCCCTTAACTGTCTAGCTCATGGAGGTTAAGGCCGAGCTTTGTTCTCAGGACAGCTCCCAGAGTTGACAACTAAAACTTTCCCACGCATCTGACACCAAACTAATGGACGCCTGCAAGGAGACTGGATACAGGAGAAAGCTCTCTATCAAGTTGATTATCGGTACCTATCAGTTTGCATTTCCACTTAATGACACTCAGTCAGGAAAGTAACCAGAAACCCTTAGTTTGGAAGAGCTCCTGACCTTGGCAGAACATAGACAACCTGAGATTCTTATGAAAATGCTGATGGCCAGGCTGAACCCCACACCAATGAAACTGTACTTTGAGGTGGGGCCCAGGCATCAATGTTTTTTTAACTCTCCAGGTGATGTAAATATGCAACCAGGATTGAGAACCACTGGATGGTTAGACGAGAGGACCATTTATTCTGGGCAAACAGCTGAGGTCACCATTACATCAGCCTGGGAGGTTCCTCCCCTGAAATAAACCACAACACATATACTGGGAGCTTATCCTCTTATCGTTTAAGGTCAGGAGGGATGCCCCTTTCGAAAGGCAGGACTGAGACTTGAGGCTGGGCCCTCCTGCACGGGGCCCTGCACCAGCCTGCTCCTAGTCATTACAACCCCAGAGGGAATGGCTGGCTCAGACATAAACTATAATTCAAAACATCCAATTAAGTAATTGAATCCCTTTCATGTGCAAGGCACTGGGCCAGGTCAGATGCCCTTCAGGGTTTAGATTTAAAGAGGTTAAGAGTGAGGCTCAGGGGTCTAAAAAGCCCTGGGCGAACCCCTGGTGTGGCTCTCACCAGGAGTGGGATATGGGCCAGGCCCTGAGTTTTCTGATGCCCACTATCCCCACGTGGGAAGTAAAGATAATTATTCTCTCTTTTTCTCTCTTTTTACCTCCCTCCCCGCATCTCTCTCTCTCTCTAGCTGGATCCTCTCTCTAGCTGTGAGGAGGAAATGCTCGTCAAACACTAGCACAGTGCCAGTAATATAGTATCCCCAGCGGCTGCTGCAGTTACAATAGCAATACATTTCAGGACAAAAGAGAAAATGTAAAGAAAAGTGAAGTAACAATAGAAGAGGCAACAATAATTGTTATTGGAAAGCCCTTCGTAGATGCATGAATTTTCATGAATATCGTTTCCTGACTTGTTGCTAAGGGAATGGCAGTAATAATAGTGCTAATAGTGCATTAGTGTCAGTCCTTCCCATATGGTTCATATACATTATTTCATATAAGCCTTACAACAGCTTTAAGACGTATGTTTATCATCCCCATTTTACAGATGAAGAAGCTGAGGGGTGGAGAGGTTCAAGGTCACACAGATGCTAAGTGGAACAGCTGGGATTTAAAATCTGCCCATTTGATTCCAGGCCCCAAAGCCTTAAAAATTACACCAAATCTCCTTCAGAAAAGGGCTACAGCAGCTCAGTAGAAGGAAATGCACTCTGAATAAATACAGTCTAATGAAGGGCATGCAAAGGAGGACGGGTCTGGGTTGGACCTTGAATAATACTGAGAGGCGAAGGAAGAAGGGAGAATGGGCTGAGCAGGGTCCAGAGGTCAGAGTACAGGTGCCTCAGTGGACAGTCCAGTCCAAGGAGCAGGTGCTGGGCGGTGGGAAGACCAGGCTGGGAGGGGTGAGGGAGACAGTGTCTCCACGTGGAGGCCTTGAGGATGAGTGATCAGTGGCCATGTGTAGGAAGGTTGGTCTGGAGGCAGTGTGCAGAACTGACCAGAAGGAAAGGCAGGGAGATAGGAGGAGACCCAAACGATCACTTAGAATAAGGGACTAACATCTGACGTCCTAGTGACGGTGTGAGTGAAAGGAGGGTGCAGATACTAGAGCTTTGTCAAAGAAAGAATTGAGCCTGGCGGGCATGGCTCGGCAGTTTGATTAGGATCCAAGAGATCGCGGTTTGATTCCCGGTCAGGGCACTGCCTGGGTTTCGGGCTCAGTCCCCAGCAGGGGGCGTGCAGGAGGCGGCCGATCAATGACTCTCTCATGATTTATGTTTCTATCTCCCTCTCCCTCAAATCAATAAAAATATATTTTTTAAAAAAAGAAAAAAGAATTGAGCAGCCAGCACCAACTAACCATGAATGGTAACGGGGTAAGAGGGTGCTGAGTGAAAAGGGTGGCGCAGATGCCTGGAAGCCGTCATGTGCCATTAGCAGAAGAGGCAGTGAGGGCAGGCTGAGCGGAAGATGAAGTTGTTTCACAAGCTGCCCAGACAAGCAGGTGGGCCTGGCAGGAGGCGGCAGGCACGCAGCCCTGGAGCCCGGGGAGGCGGACACAGGGGAAGCAGGTCTGAGAGCCACTGCAGAGATGAGAGCTGAACCTGTGAGAGGAAACGAGAGCTCTGAGGGAGAAACTGCAGAGAGAAGAAAGGCAGGGAGCCGAGGACGGGACCCTGGAAGATGCACGAAGGGTGGGGCTGCGGAGCGGGACAGGCGTGGTCAAGGGAAAAGGAGGAAAGGCAGCACTGCGGCTCCTGAGAGCCACGTGTCCACAGAGCCCGGTCCACGCCCGCCGCGGGCCACGGGGAAGGGATGTCGCTGTGGCTACCTTCCTCAGACACCGAGGCAACAGGCTGCTAATGGACTGTCTCCCTCTTCTGCTTTGATCCTGTGTACACCTCATGAGGGTTCTCAGGAGACCCCATGTCCTCGGAAAGGAAGCCTGCTTGGGAGGGAGCCGTGTGTTATCGTGGAGGCAGAGCTCGGCGAGAGAGCAACGGTCTGACCCGAATTAAACCAGCTTCGCTGCTGACCTTCCTGATGAGGAGCCGCAGTGTTGAAATGCCATCACCTGGGCTTGTCCCTGCCAGTTCAGTGTCAGGACCACGAAGCTGGCGTGAAGATACTGACACTAACAAGTGCACGCCCTTCACCATTCGTACGTTACTTTAAAGAGAGTGAGACTTCTTAGCTCACAGCTTTGACGCAGAGCTCGCCTGTTGGTTCTTAGAGCTCCTTTACATTTTTCCATCCCTCCAAGTGTTTACCCAAACCTCTTCAACTGGGAGCCTCGCTGGGCCTTTAACGAGACTGGCTGCTGAGCGTCAGCACTTTCTAATGTCAGCTCTGTGGGGCCTGCGTTGCCTGGGTCTCACTATTAATTACACTGTGTTTCAATTAACATTTGGGAACAGACCAGTGTGCTACCCTGAGCGACAGTGTGGCTACCGCTCTGGTCCTTTTCAGATCAGAAAAGACAGCACTCAAAGCCCCAAAAGATGATTTCATTTCTTGCACAGACTGGAGTGAGACCCCCAGCCAGGCACTGTGGGGTTCAAGGTTCTCATGGGGAGGTGTTTTAGTAGGTAGTTCAGAGCACCAGTGATATTAGACCAACATTCGCTGTGCGGGCCTGCACAAGTCACTTCATTATCTCCGAGGGCAGGTTTCCATGCCAGGAAGCTATGGACCACAGTGGGACTGAACACAGCAGAACCGAATGACGCAAGGCCCAAATGAGACAGCTCAAGGCCAGTAAGCAGCGAATGGCGGTTTTGCTGTTATTGTTAGGACAACTGAGGAAAACGTCCTTGCCTCCCTCTTCTCTTACAGAATGATGGTGATTGTAGAAAAAAGAAATCAACGACCCCGCAGAGTGATGGAGCAGGCTAGTGGACCTGTGCTGCATCTGTGAGGCCCCAATGTCTTCAGCTCTGGGGATGTCTTCAGCTCTGGGCCATTCCTGTAGCTTAAAGACTGTAACCATGTGATGGGAGGAGATCTGCCACCACATGTTCTAGGGGATAAAGAAGTTAAGCCCACCAGGTGGCAGCTTTGGAGGACCCTGGTGTTTTATAAACCGCTATTTAATGAAAGTGAACTTCTCACTCACTCCTGCTCCCTGGCTTACCCTCTCAGTAGAAACTAAGGAAGTGGGCGTGGCCAGTGTGCTGAGGTCACAGGGTGCTCCTGTTTGGGCCACGTGCTCATTTGGCTGGGGTGGGGGTACTGTTTGGGGAATCAAGTCACAAGATAAATCTGGCACATTCTCCTGGCACTGCAATTGTGCTTGATTACGTTATTTAAAACAATATGAATATATTAAGACAAACATAAATTTTATGGAGTGCAATACAAAATTCACAAGGATTTTAAAGATAAAACACATGTCTAAAAAGAAATGTCACGCTCTCTGCTTCTAGGCCCTCCAGGGGCTCATGTTCCTTCTGTCAGCAGCACTTGGGCGAGGAAGTAAGAGAAGCATGGACGTGGGTTGTTCAGTCAAAGCCCCTATGACAGTGTAACCTAGAGGATTATGGACTAAGGGCTGTTTAACTATTTACTCATCTGAAATAATGTCCCTAAGAAGTGATTGCGACATTTCTCTTTTAAATACTCTTCTAATATTTCCCCCAACAGTGCTTATTTCTCCCACCTTCAATTGTCTATTTTGGTAGATTTCGGAGGAAACACCAAGCACAGTATTATGCTGTCTGCCAGGCTGAACAACAGGAATTCTTTCTTCTGATTAATCCGCTACAAACAGGGGGTGCTAAAATTCATTTCCAAGTTCTTAGAGCTGGAGAGAAAAGCACAGGCTGGTGGGAAAAATGACACTGCAGAAACAAGATCCCACTGGCTCCAGAAAGAGGAGGAGGCATGACCACTGTCACAGGAAGCAAGCGTCCGATGACACAATAGCGGAGGAGGCGCCGCTGCACAGTCGACCTTGGAAAACCAAATGAACAGCAGCTTCTTTGGAGTGCTTACCAAGAGGCAGGTATTTTATGTATATCATCACAACCCTCAAGACAATTCTATTCCAGCCATTTTACAGATGAGGAAACTGAGGCTCTGACTGCAGTGCCTATACCCTTTCCTACCACAGACGAGGAAACTGAGGCTCTGACTGCAGTGCCTATACCCTTTCCTACCACAGACGAGGAAACTGAGGCTCTGATTGCAGCGCCTATACCCTTCCCTACCAAGATGCACTGGCAGGTCCCCTCTATCCACTTCAGGACTGAAGCATCTGGCCCAAGCCAACCCAACTCCATCATGCGGAAAAGGAAACATCTTACCTTCAGAGCCCAGTCGCAGTCCACTAATGCCTTCTGGTAGTCCCCGAGTTTTATATAAGCCTGTAATGACACAAATGGCTGCTGTCCACATACAGCTCTGTAGCAAGCAGTCTTAGCAAACACAGAAAGCGCAGTCCAATGGTGATGAGAAGTAACTGGTCCCTCCCCGCAAGTCAGGGTCCCAGCAGGAAACGTACGGACACTCAGGTGATAACGAAGAGAGTTTATTAAAAGGTGAGGGCAGGGCTTAGGGAAACCAACAGGAATGAGCCCAGATGGAAGCTACAANAAGAGAGTTTATTAAAAGGTGAGGGCAGGGCTTAGAGAAACCAACAGGAATGAGCCCAGACGGAAGCTACAAAGCAGGAAAGTCAAGGGGCCAGTCCACAGAGGTCAATTCTCAGGGCACAGAGCAGGGCAGGGAAGGGTCTGGGGAGGCAAAAGATAACACGCAGCACACCAAACACGTCTACAAGGGAAGAGCTAGCTTCTGGAGCCGCCCCCCTGTGACTATTCCAGAAGGAAACCAAACGATAAAAGCAATAGAAAAGATAGTAAGAGTTGGCAAGAATGTGAACAAATCGGAACCCTCACAGCGTGGGAATGGAAGCCGTGGGAATGAGGTAAGCACGCTGGAAGACAGTCTAGCAGGTCCTCAAAAGAGGGTACCTACAGTAACCTATGATCCAGCAGTGCCACTCCTGTCCTCCCAAGAGGACTGCCACACGTATGTTCACGGCAGCATTAGTCACAACTGTCACAAAGCAGAAACAATGTAAATGCCCATCGACTGATGAACGGATAAATAAAGTGGGGTCTATCCACACAACGGTATATTAGTCAGCAATGGAAAGGAAAGAAGTACTGATCCATATTACAACATGGATGGACCTTGAAAACAGTCTGTGAAATAAAAGAAGCCAGACACAATAGGTAAAATATTATGATTTCACTTATATGAAATTCCCAGAGTTAGATGTATAGAAAGTACAGCAAGTCCTCAAATAAAATAGTTTTGTTCCATGTTTTTTAGTTATTATGTTGGTGAGATGCTGTAGGAACTTAACTCATTTACATCAACTAGCCTCTGGTGAAACTGGTTTCCTTATGCGCCGTTTTGCTTAAAGCTGCAGAAGCTGGGCTTACTGTAGATTAGTGGTTGCCTAGGGCTGGGGTGGGGGGGAAAAGGCGTGAGGGTGGGAGGCTGAGGTGCTTAAAGGGTTTCTTTTCGGGGTAATGAAAATGTTCTAAAATTGACTGTGGTGACGGTTGCACAACTCTGTGAATAGACTAAAAACCACTAAATTGTACACTTCAAGGTGAACCGTGTGTCAATTATATTTCAAGAAGGCTGTTACCAGAAGATAAAGCAAAGTTCATCTTTCCTCATGAGCACAGCAAGACAGAAGAGGTACAGGAAATGGGCAGACACTTAGGAGTTAGACCTTCCCCATGAGCCCTTAGGATTCCCCAGAATTGGGGGAAATTGGGAAAGTCAAGAATTGACTGAGAATTCTGTGATCCACTCAAACTAAACTGAAGTTAGTCCACCTACAGTTTCAAAGAGCTAGTGGCATGTAAACAAGTGAAATGCTCTTGAACAGCCAGACAATGGCTACAGTGCCCTCTGTATGAATTACTGGACACAACAGGTGGTCCAAGAATTCTCAAGTTGCACTCAGTCGACTTTAAGCACTTTTCTTCTGGAATGTTCCCTAAAAAGCAGCGATGATCACCCTGTTATAAGACAGGAAAACCAGGCACCAGGAGGACAAGTGGCTTTGCAGAGTCCCACGGGACACCACTAATAGAGCCAACACTCCATGTAGGTTTGCACCAGGGCACTGTGACATTCTTAACAATAAAGCTGATGAGGTGACTACATGGTCAGTGTCATAACTCACGGGGAAAGCCAACATTCAGCCAAAGTGAGGAGGGAGCCGGCAACAGCCAGCTAATGAGCTCCTGCAGTGCAGCTCTTTGCATGTATAGAAAGGAAGCTGCTGTGTGGTGCTTTCATTAACTTGGATTCTGTCCTAATTGAAGATGACGACTCTGGCTCTGAGCTTTCTGTTCTATATGGCACCATCCTTTCCTCCAGGCTTTGGGGTTGCATTTGAAAATCAGAGGATGTGAGGAAGAAACCAGCATCCTTCTAGACAACCGTAGCCATGATTTCATGACATTGCTATGCAGGAAACATACAGACTCTGAAAAGGTCTACATGGGCATCAATAATTTCTCTACAGCCTTTTATTTTTTCCTTTCTTTTGTTCTTTTTAAAGCTTGGAATTAACACTCTATAACTTCTCCATTGTCTTTTGCTTGTCCACATTTTAAGAACTACTTTTTCCAAGTGATTTATCTAAATTACACCAGCAATCTATTGATCATAACATTAGCTCCAGGAGAAAAACAAAGCGATGAAAGGGTAGGTTGCTCTCTAGCAAGCAGAAACACTTGATTCACGGGGCCCTTATTAAGTGTTTTCTAACACTGCGTGCAAACAGGAGGCATTTTAAAAACAGTCAATGATTCCGATGATTCCTAACGCCAGGCAGCACATTTTGCACTTATTTGTCTCCAAGTGAGCTTTCTCTCTGGGAAGCTGGGAGGAATTTTCACCAAAGCTTTCTTTGCATTTACTTATTTTTATCTACAGTCTTAATGTGATCCTCCAGAGCTAATCAAAGTGCTATTTAAACTTGAGTACAGTAAAAATGCAACTAATTTAGATGGATCAGAGTATAGACCATCTGAATTAGATATGTCTGAATTACATAACATTTTAAAAGCAATTCAATTTTATTGTTTCAAATAACTTCAGAGTACAAGACTGAACAAGCATCAGTAGGTAAGTGGGAGACCAAATTTAGTGATAAATAAAAGAAACTATGGTTATTATATTAATTGTCTGCATTTAAATGTTTCTTTTGAACGGTCAACAGAAACTTAATTCCCTTAAATGGACTTATTGTGCTTCCAGTGTTATGTAACTTAACAAGGACTTATTGAACATCTGTTATAAATAAAGCATTAGGGGAAACAGTATACGGCAGTTTTCACCCTCAAAAAATGTATGATCTTGTTAGGGTAATAGTGTAAGCTGCTAAATCAACCTTTGCCCATTTTATTTACCAATCTCTTCTTTGAAACAGTTTTTCTCCACAAATGGAATTAGGAAAATGACATCTAACTCTAGTCCGACTTAACCGCTGAGCTAATGCGGTTATACTGTGCTTGGATGTATTCATCATTAAATCACTGCCGCTTGCCCAACTCTTTGGCCCCCTCGGCTTGGATTCAACACCCTGTAACTTCCCCGTGCTCTTTTGCTTTTCCCCATTTTAAGAACTACTGAGGTCCTGCTTCCTGCTTTCACCACTCTTCCTCAGCACACCGCAGCAGGGCGTCCTTAATCCTGAGTTACAGAAGGGAGCCGATGCGGGCTCTTCCTCTTGTAAGTGACATGGCATCAGTTCATCTCACACAGGCCCTGCTCCCAGACACTGACCGTCGGATAATCACGTCCATGAACCTGCCAGGTTTTCAGGCCTGAGCAACAGACAGTTCTACCACACAGAGTCGCAAGTACTTTTCAAGTAAGATCACAGGTACATTTTTGTTTCAACTGAGAACTATCAACCTTGTCCCTTCATTGAGTAGCAGGTAATAAACATCTGGGTGACAGTTTTCACCTGGCATTCCAGGAAACTGAGGGCATCTGTGATGTAAAACTGAGGTGTTAGGGATTTCAGAAACTCAAAATTGGCTCTAGTCCCATCAGCTATCCAGTCAACCCCAGTCACCGAATCTTAATCAAAGAGGGACATAATGAGTTAGAAATCAACAGGAGAGCAGCCCTCGGAGTTTAGACCACTATTAAACAGGAGGCTGGACAATCCAGCAGTGGCAGAATCCCAGGGTCTCATGGGTCAGTCCAGGCCAGGTTTTCTCCTTTACCCACATGGGAAAGTGCCTGGTTACCATCAGCGATGTCCTGGAGCTGACTTATACAAAGGAGAGAACTGATCACACATAGCTCTTCCCAAGCCCTCCTTCCATGATTTTAAGTTGGTGGCTTGCAACTGGATCATGGTGACAGTATTTATACTGTGGAAATTGACAAATGCTCCATACAGGTCAGTTTCCCCTTACCCCAACCAGAGCCAGTTGTTGTCACACCACAGGCACCATCTAGGCTCATCTTTCTCAGACTTCACAAGATTAGTGGCTCTGTTGCTGAGAAAACCCCGTGGACATGCGTGGCTCACTGACCTGGGCTCGGTTGGTGTACAGAACCTGCATGTCCTTCAGCTTCTCCAAACCCTCACTGTAGCAGAGGATGGCCGTCTCGTAATCGCCTCTGGCAAACGCCTCATTCCCCTTTTCTTTGAGGGCTAAGAGAGTAAGAGTCATACAGGTGAGCTCTCCCACACACTGGAAAATGCTTTGACTTTATTCCCCCGATTTTCCAACTCCACTCTGAAGGTGAGAGCTTTCATCAATCCAAAGGGGACCCATCACTTGTTTCTCTCTGCAGATATTTAGGACTGGCTCCTTTAAGGATTTTTCTCCAAATTCACCCCGTCTTCTAAGGAGCTTCTCAGAAAAAGTAAATGTTTCTGCCACAAGGCTGAGAACCACTCCATACTTGCCACAAAGACCAAGTCTGCGCATTCAGTGTTTCATAAAAAGGGTCAGACGACTAGTTTTCCAGCCAGTGTGGTGTCCTTCAGTCTGCAGCTCACAGGCCGCTGGGTGGTATAAAATCAATACCTAAAGCACTGTCATGTGTACCCCCTGCCACACACACACACACCTGTCTTTTCATGTCTCCTCTCCCTTCTCACATCTTTGTTTTCTTGTTTCATTTTTATTTATTTACTTGCCTGTGCCTCTGGCTAGCCAGCAGTAGCTCACTCCCACCCTCCCTCCTTCCGAGTACTGTCTGGCGCTGCTCCATCTGACCTGCCAAGTCCACCCACAGGCTTTACAAGGAGGCGGGACTGTGGAGGTGACTGACGGCTATGCCCCGCCCCTGTTCGCTGCATGGGGACAGAGGGCAGACCACCCCCAATGGTTTCTGCCAGGTCCCACCGCCGAGGCCCACTCGAACCCACCCATTGGAAGTCTTGACGTTCCTGAACATCAGCAGACAGACTCGTTCTAGCACAAATCGTCCCAGCTATTGAAAAGCGAAGGCTGACAATTACCGTCTGCTAAGACTCTGTTTTCCCTTCTTCTCTTGGCTCGTTCCTTTGCATCCCTCTCCAGAGATGACAAGAAGGCCTCTTGACAGCAGAGTAATTTCAAATATTAAAAAGAAAAATCCAATACTATAATCAGTTCTTTATTTCACATTCAGAAGAAAACTACTTTAAAGTTTTAGAGCCATGCTTCTCATGCATACACATGTAGGTGCAAGCGCACACACACACACATAACTAAATGACATCTTAATTTGACATGGTAATCTGTGTGATGTATTATTATACATGAAGGCTATGTCTATGCTTCAAATTTGAGTTATGCCTTTAAAAAGAGATTTTCCCTAAAGGCTGACTTTTTTGTTCCATTTAGCATAATGAGCTTGTGAGCTGAGCAACAGAGGAACTATCTGATCTCTTAAGCAGCTGAGTATAAACTGGAAGATACAGAAAAGCTGAATTCAGTTTACACAGAAGACTGGCCCAGAGAGAAGACAGAAAAGCCTCCAAGAGCTGTTCCCTCAGACCACCAGCCACAGAACTGGGTGATTAGCAGGTTTTTGCTCGTGGGTTGTTTGTATACCCAAAGGCTATAATTTAAGGGTTTGGAAGCTGCAGTCAGTAAACACTGATCCTAAATAAATCATACACATTGGGAAGAGAGATGCTGTCCTTACCTGTGTTTATTTCATCTGTGTTCTGCAAGGCACAAGTTATCATGAAAACAAAGAAACAAATTTCAGAAACAACTCTGATTTTAAGTATACAAACCAAGAAGGCATCAATTACACACGGGGAATAGGGCCATTCCCTTTAACCACTAATCCAGAAGGGCCCAAAATTCGGGGGACCTGCTTTAAATCAGGAGATCTGATTATGGGCCCAATTATCATGGGGCTAAGTCTGCAGAAACAAGGGTGACCAGAAAAGGGACCTCAGCTATGGCTGTAGGAGTTGGAAATATAAGTTAGCATAATATGCCCTAACAGTACAGCTTAAATATGGTTCCAAACTTAGGGGGTGGAGAGGGCAAATTTTCATTAAAACAAACCCAAAGGGTTGTTTAAAGATGACCCAGAAGGAGCAAGAAAAACAACAACAGAGTTTATAATTCCTTATGGAAAATAGATCTAGTAAATCTAAAAAAAACAAAACTATTTCAGCGTCACCAGACAGTTTGAGATTAAGCGACTACCCCTTCTGCCTCAGTGCAGACCCCTCACTATGTCTGTGTATAGAAGTCCACCATAGAGAAAGGAAACCTTCGCAGGAGCTTGTGCAGGACTGATCATGGTCTTGTCCACGGTGGTCCTGCATCTGTCCTTGTCCTGGTCTTCCCCTGTGAGCAGTAGCCTCTTTTCTGTCTTGAGGATGGCTTTCTCTTGTACAACCGGGTCCTCAGAATTCATCTCCTGGATTAAACTGGCTAGAGAACAAATCGGATGTGAATTGTTCACACAAGGTCTTTAGCAGTGAAGACTGCTCACCAGGAAGGACAGTGTGGAGCATGCATAGGAGACTCTTATTTTTCAGCTTCATTGAGATATAATTAACATATAACATGCTGCAAGTTTAAGGTGCAAGTTTAACATGATGATTTGATACATACTGTGAAATGATTCCTACAATAAGCTTAGTTAATACATCCATCTGCTCATATAATTACTTCTGTGTGTATGGTGAGAACATCTGAGCTCTACTCTCTGAGTAACTTTCAACTATATAATACAGTATTAACTACAGTCACCATGCTGTACGTTAAGCCCCCAGAACATATTCATCCTATAACTGGAGTTTATACCCTTTAACCAGTGTCTCCCATTTCTTAAAGAAGGTTCTAAATAGAAAACAAAAATTAGAGCAATTAGAACCAATGAAAAAAAAATTAAGATAAGGATTTGTTTTGCCTGGAAAAAGCTTCAGGAGAATTTAACCATGGCCTTCAAGGAAAAGAATGTTAAGCCACTTGTTTAATTCAACAATTTATGAAGAGCTTATTATGAGTTAGATATTATGCAGAATGCTGTACAGGTGACAATGATGAATAAAAAAGATCCTTATTTTTAGAGCATTTACAATCATGTGTGGGAGACAAACAGGTAAATAAAGGCAGCTCTGAGATCACAAAATAACAGCCATTGATCCTACCCTTACCTGTCTTCACTTTACTGCCCACCCAGCTTAGGTTCCATGGTCCATCACTTGGTCACCACCCCACCTGCCAGGCAAAACTCCAACTCTAAGTGAATCCAACTCTTCACTTTCGGGGCCTTTATTAGGCATGCTGAGTACTGATAGAGAAAGACAGACGGACGCCTGAGGGGAGTGGTCCTGACTCAACCGGACTGCCAATGATGCTCAGCAATCGTACTGTTACCCTGGTACAATTCTGACACCAATTCCTGTGTGTGTGTGTTTCCCACACCACCAAGCAGATCTCTGACACCAGCTGGGTATCCTACAAGTCAACCCAATTCTGACACTATCTACCTGGAGACAGCAGCAGATTCCACAAGTTAAGGGCTCAGTCCTACTGGACTGCCCACACCCTCCCATTCCCCACACTTCAGAGGCCAGTTAAAAGCCCAGGTTGTCACCATTACTTCTTACCAAACAGCTACAGATTGGAGGTCCCCACACCTCCTCCTCTGGTTTGATTTATTTGCTAGAGTGGCTCACAGGACTCAAAGGAACATTTTACTTACCAGGAATAGCCAGATGGAAGGGATTCATAGGGCAAGGTATATGGAAAGGGGGTGCAGAACTTCTAAGCTCTCAGAGTGCCCCACCCTTTCCAAATCTCAGGTGTTCACCAACCTGAAAGCTCTCCAAACCCTGCCCTCTGGGTTTTTATGGAAGTGTCACTACACAGGCATAACTGATCAAATCACTGGCCATTAGGAATCGATTCAACCTCCAGCCCCTCTCCCCTCCTCAGAGGGTAGGACTGAAAGTTCCAACCGTCCAATCACAAGGTTGGTTCCACTGGCAACCAGCCCCATCCTGAGGATCCAAAGTCACCTAGTAACATGAATTCAGGTACGGATGAAAGGGGTTTGTTATGAACATCTTTATCTTTCCAATCACTTAGGAAATGACAAGGGTTTGGGGAGGTCTGTGCCAGAAACAGGTATGAATAAATATGTATTTCTTATCATAAATCACAATATAACACTAAGGCAAGTCATCCTGTTACCCTAGTAGTTAGCTAATTATTGATAGGAGAGGAAGGGGAGGGGAAGTCAGCCATTTTTGAGCATATTCAGTGGGGAAGCAGAGGCCTGTTTGCTTCACCAAGAAGCTATAGCTTCACACCCCCACCCCCACCCCCAGGCAACTACCAGTCCACTCCCTGCAGGTCAAAGTGGACGGTAAACACATGTGCAATAAAGTCAAAATGGCACAGGTAGAGGCACTTAACCATAGAGAACTGTGGGTCTAACCTGGGAAAGTGATCATTCATCAGGGGATGAACCCCACTGAGAGCTAGGGAAAGTCTAGGAAGTTGATTGGTTATTTTGAAAAAGCTTCCCCCCTCTGTCTCTCTGTCTCCCCCCTGCCCTTGCCCTCTCTGACCCATACTAGCCCTGTGGGTTCTCGAGTTCTCAGTCCATAGCCATGCGGCATAGCAGCCACATTGCTGATAACCTCGCAGACTCCAAATGCACGCTCCAGGTGGGAGCCTGCATACAGCAAAGCAATGGATTTTAGCCATGAAGCTAAGCTAAGCTAGCTGGATGCTCGCCTGGGACTAAGCTTTAATGTGGCACAGGATTTCTGGACACTGACTATTTCTGGCCCTGATTTAATATGGTGGATAGAGGGTGATGGGACATTGGAAGCTCAGGGGCCGCAACCACAAATAAATCATCTTGCCACATCCATATCACAATCTCCCACATGTGGATCCTTGAAATGCTTTTCTTGCGATGCTGTGGAAGAGCCTATTTCCCACCGACAACAATCCTATCTTTCTCTGAAGAACTTTAAAAAATTATCTCCGGGGGGTGGGGGGAGGTAAGAGAGGGTAAAGGGATGATAAATGCTGATGGGAGGAGACTTGACGGGG